GCTTATTTCGTTTGTTACACAAATTTTGGTAGTACAGGCCACCAAAAGCAGTACTTGCCAGACAAATGAAGTGATAATATTGTGAAAGAATCGATGGAAAAATAGTTCAATCAATCAATAAATGAATAATGATAGTATTTGATAACTGAGACAGGCTAGTTGGAACACGGTTAAAAGGGGCTCCTTTAAGTTAGAGAAGCTTATCTCAGTCTTATACATACTGTGATAAAAAAATCTATAGCTGATTCACCACCGACCTCCATTCTGAGTCAAAATATCGAATCATAGTTGCATCATCTCTGAGACTCCCACCGAGAAGTCATGGTAGACCAATAAAAGCCAATCCTGTATATCTATCTTCAGTACCATTGTGTCATGTTGTTAGCCCAAGGCTGAAGAGAAATAGTCAGATTGATCAACCCTACCCAACACTACTATTGAATCGAACAGTGCCTGTATACCATCACTTTCAGATGTTGTTTTGCAGCAACTATGACAGTGTTCTAGCATTTGAAGGAGAGTGAAAAGGTGATCAGTACTGAACAAAAACTAGCCTTCTCTTTACTAGTCACTCTTCAACGGGTTTCGCATAATTGTAGTATAACAGAAGTTGAAAAATTGGGAGTTATCAAAATATTTGTAGCCCAATACTTGTTCAATAGATTGCGCATGGCCTTTTTAAAGGTGAGAACGACGAACGCTACATCACAAGATGGTGGGATGAGCAGTCAGAAATCCGTCAGTCTTAAACAGGTGTAACAACTAAGTCATCCGGAGCTAGTGACTTGTGGCGCTTCAAAGTTAGAGCTCACTACGGACCTCCGCCACCCTGAATGGGACAGTAGTTAAGGTTTACAGGACAGTCTGGTTTGTAAGAGCTTGAACTAACAGGTAGCAGTTTGAAGACCAGAAGGCAGTAGCCCGCCAACACGACCATAGCTTCTGTCTTGACGTATCGGTCAGCTTTGCCTTTCGTGACTATTCAACCGAGCTATATTGGCGTGAGTACATGTACCCTTAAGTCCTACCGTGCCAGGTAGGTCACTTAGAAGACTGTAACCCTTAAAGCAGCAACTTAAGCTCTGAGGATGAAGTACTGCTGAATATGGAGGGGTGTGACAGAAACAAGATGTTCCACTCTGACTGACACACCTGCAACGCCGCTACGTCCTCACAACAGAAGGCGCTACGAAATTTCGCAAATCCTGCCTCATAGATTTCTGCCTTCGGTAGTAAGGCCTTATGGAGTGTGGAGCTAACACATCAAAAGCTTCCCATAAAAAGGTCGAGCATGACGGGCCTCAACCAGTTGTCTCCTCGACTCTGTGGTCACACTCCCACGTCACTAAGACCACCACCAAATCAGCTTAGTTTTCAGGTCTCTCAAGAAGGAATATCCCACCACGGTGTGGACAGCCGGGAAGTAATAAGCGCCCTTATACCTCTACCAACACCTGAGGTCACCGTGTTCACGACAACCCCCCTCAACTCTTGATAATTATCCCACCTCCACGAACAATACTTCTCGCATATCATCACGCGCCAGCAATGCTAATGATTTGCGCTTGAGAACTATTATTTCTGGTTTCCTGAAACTACTACCTAAACTACATATTATAGCTTTTAATGTTCGAAATTTTGTCGAATAGAGCAACAGACTTTCCTAACTAGGAATCTAGAATCTCACACCATCGATGTCTGCTGTGCCTCGCGAACGCACATCAGTCAGTCAGCTAGAACGGTCCAAGTTACCATACCCCATTAGCACAACAAGATGAACACCGGATTCATAGAAGTAGTTAGTTCAGTGGTGGTAATATATAAAAGAAAGATTGCATATAGGGACATAGTACAGGAAGAAAGAATTAGTTCGTAGAAAGAGATATAAAGCGATTTTAATCTTATAGTTTAAGAGAGGAGAGAGAGTGTATACAACGACGCCATATCACCCAGAGTCTCCAACCATTGGTTACAATAGTCACGCGGACCCCAACCAAGTAGTCTGCATCTACCAACATGGCTCAGACTAGAAGCTAGTAACTTCAATGTCTGATGCCACGTTTCAGTTTGGCCGCCCTTAACTTTATTCCAACCGTATCCAGCACTAGTCAGCATTGCGCATCGTGGTAATCGGTGTCCAGGCATACGTAACACGTGGCCCAACCATCTCAGTCGATGAAGATTCATAACCTCATCAACTGATTTACCATCATTCCCTAATACCCTGCGTCTAACCTAACTATTACTTACCCGGTTATCCCAGCAGATACGAGCAATATTTCTAAGGCATCTATGGTTAGATACGAGTATCTTCTACTCTTAATGGCCACGTTTCGTAGCCGTATGGTAGAACAGAATGAACTGCTGCGCAGTATACTCGTCCCTTGATTGGTAGACGGATATCTCACCTTCGTCACAGGTGATATATGTTGGCAAAAGCCAAACGAGTTTTCTGAGTCCGTGCAGTTATTTGGTCAGACACCAACCCATTAGGGCTGATCAGACATCCAAGATAAGTGAAGTTGTCAACGCGTTCAACTACTTTACTCCCTATCCTTAGTTCAGGTGTTGAGGTAGACCAGTCCTTAAGCAACCATTCGCATTTAGAAGGGGGAGAAGCGCATCCCAAACATTCTGGCATTGTTGCCCAGCGCTACCCAAAGACTGCATTTTATCAGCGTCTTCACTACACTGGGCTTTGTCATCTGTGTTTCCTAATACGACCTGCTGATGGGAGATCAATTCCTGAATATTCGTTCTAAACGTCTGAACTGGAAGCAGATGAGTGTCGTCTTTTTCTGAGATAGTCTCACTTACACTTATTAATTCCAGTCTGAAGAGCGGTCTTGTGTAACCTACGGCCGTCGTCTTTACCATCTCTTTTGCTTTCATTCCCAACCACTGCTCAAGGTTTAGCTTTCTGAAGAATTTCAGAAAGCTTTCTGTAAAAGCCATCTCTCACTTCATACAGGATGTACTCAGCTGGAGCGTAGCCAAAAACGATTAAAATACAACGAAGTGTGTCTCCATCCTTATGAGTTCTTACGAAGAACATAGGCGACTATTAACGGGGACCCACTCTAATAGTGCTTGTTCTGCCCTCGTACTTAGTGTTATACCTACATCTGTTAGTCCACGAGAACTAGCCGTCGGGTCGCCAGATACACGGAGGGCGTTTCTCGTCGTTTTGGCGAGGTGAGGTCAAGTGAATGGCCACACTAGGATCTTGATTATATGTTTCGCAGACACAGCATACACCAATGGTACGAGATTCTAAGGTTTCAGTCAAGGAGGCCTGCTGACCGATTTGACACAAGATGATTACGTTGAAAGCTCTAATGTGTAGTTCAGAGCGAGGTCTCAGTAGACCTGAGAGGAAGTTAAGAGTTGAAAGCCGACATATAAGGAGTACTAAAAACTGTAGAGGGAGATTGATTATGAACACAGTGATCTTGAGTGGTACGGTTACCAGGACGGTTATCACTTCCCGGCTGCCCACACCGTGGAAGGGTTCTTCTGGAGGTACCTGAAAAGGAAATTGGATTAGAGGTGATCTTACTGACCTGGGAGCGTGACCGCAGTGCCCAAGGGACAACTGCTTGAGGTCGGTCACACACGACCCTTTTATGGGTAATTTTTTTGTTAGCTCCGTACTTGTTGAGACCCTACCGGCGGATACGGATGTCCGTGTGATAAAACGAGGTGTGCGTTTTTAAGGTCGACCACTTCCGACCCCACCCCTCCTTGTGGGAGGGCAGCATCACTGTTATGCTGGTTGTCTGAAGGAAACATCTTGCTGCTGTCACACCTCTGGACAGCCAGCAGTACGATTTCGCCTTCGGACTTCGAGTTTGTTGCTTTTAGTCTTAGCGCTCCTCCGTAGGACCTTGAGGACGGTTGTTTCACTCAGTATAGCTCGTTTGCTTCATCACAATAGGCAAGCCAGACCACCACCTCAGGGTAGCAACATTGGTCGGGCCCAAAAGCACACGTAGGATCCACGTACTGACATTCATATGACCTCACCACGTCAATATAAATAACCAACACGAATTACACTTCTAGTATCTGGAAACCCCAATGCTACTTACCTTGACCTCGCTGGTGTACGTATAGCATTAAGTTCAAAAGCAGAACGGGGTTCGTCAGGCTGAATTACAATAGAAAGCTAGCTTCAATTGACTCATGATCTCAACTGTTGAAATTTATTTTATTTGTTGATGGCCGTCATAGAACCACATAACTTCTTACCGTGATTTGGAATGTCGATTATCACAAAAATACAAATCACCATACTGAAAATTCTAATGGTAGAGAATCGTGCATTAAGAATCGTCTGCTCAGCTATCTTCACAATCGCTGCTCATGTAAGTGATTTTCGAGTCCCTGTCTCCAATCAAGTTGTCGAAATAAATGCAGAATTATTACGTAACATAATTAAGGCAGCGATCTAGACACTGACTTCGAACAAAGGACTTGTTTTGTCATAAAACGTAAACAAAATGCCAACTTATTGAGATTGTAAAAACGTAGTTATATATCCGATTAAAGCTACGAGCAGATGAAGTGGGACCCACATCACTGGTGGTTATCATAAAAAATTTTACATCTTCAAGTGAAATCTAGCACATGTCTAAGCTGAATTTGAAGGATGCATATAAAACCCACTTTCTACTACCCAATGTTTGTATACGAATCATTTCGAACGAGGTCGAGATTTTGGTAAGAACAGATCGTCATGGCGACTGGTTGCGATGTTCTTAATATTTCAGCTAGAAGCCTGCACAAGTGTATTTCAAATTGCTGAAGCTATTTCTCAGTAGAGCGAGGGCTTAGCGCACTACCCTATTACATGAAATCCAACACCACGGGTCATAATCTAAAAAGACTAACAATAGCGACATGACAATCTATTTTGAACACAAACTGAAAATGTTTCCAACCAGAATGGGACTAAAGTGAAACTACCAAATCGAGTTTTTAAGTACTCGTGAATTAAGCTAATGGTATAATCCGTACTGGCGACTGCATTCTTTTAGAGCTTCAGAGAAGCCACTGCAAGCACTTATATCACTTTGGGACTGAGCGCATCGAATAAGTTCATCTACATGGTATTGACATGGAGATTGAGATTGATCCGAAGTTGAGGATATCTGGGCAGGCTGAGCAGGATTGCCACCCAATCCACCTGACAATGCTCCCGTAACAGCGTGACCAACAACTGAACCAATAGCTACACCCCCGGCTGTAGCTGCCATCTGTCCCATTAAACCTGGCTGTCGCGGTTGTGCTGGAGGCTGTGCAACAGCAGATGGAGGTGCACGAGCCGGCAAATTTGCACGTGGACGAGACGAAACTCTTGAAGGACTAGATCCTCTATAAAATTTAAAGACATCGTGTTAAAGACAATTGAAAAGGTCACCTTCGAGGCATTGTGTTAAGCTTTTTGAAGAACACGCAGCTAGTTTTCCTACGACAAGGCCACTAGCTATTAAAACAAATATTTACACACATTAACAATTTAAAGTATGTGAAATTGGTCTTGTATGTTTACGAGATCCGCCCGTTTATGTTAGTTTTTCGACTGTATTTTTAACAAAATAACATTCAATAGTGTGATTCAGATTTGAGTTGTTAGGACAGAAGGCAGACGGCCCTCTAATACCAGATAAAAAAGTAGTTAACCGAAAAGTATTTTTATTTTATGCGGAACGATTTGGATCATCTGATACACTTAGGTAGCTCTCCAGAGCAAAAGTCAGATGTTGAGGCCGTTATCAAATCATGTTGTTTGCCTGTAAAATTTCAAGCCCATAGATTGTTTTTCAAATCTGTTTTTCAAAAATTTTAACAATAATTAACCCTGTTAATAAATTCTTTCGTATGATAAATCAACAAATATTGATTCAGATCCTGATATGTGTAGTAAGCGGAGAAGGCCTTGCCTTATGTTATTCGTTCTCTAGTATTCATGTGTGAATTTCTACTCTTATCATGTATATGTCAATTGAAGTTGCGGACACCACTGTTTCGTGTAGCATATCCTTAAAATCGATGTTTAGATGTGAAAATCCGTGTGCTACTGGCATTCTGTTTGTAAATGGTCTGTTATGTCGCCTAAGATTTGCTGATCTAGTAAGAAGAGAAAGAAAGGATATATTAGGTCCAAAATCATTTTTCACTATTCTGTAAATCAAGATAAGATAAATCCTTCGGATCGTTAAGATAGAAGTGTTCGTCAAAATCAACAGTCTGATGCTAACAAAGTTATTTATTTTCGAAAGCTATTCATTGGTAAAAAACTTTGCCCAAATATTTTCACCTCAGTAGGTGGGGCTGTAATGGTACTGACCAACAGAGTGGAGTTTTATATCACACAGAGGGCCCGCTTCGTAGTAAACATGGAGCGGCGTACGAGGTATTTCGCTTATTCGGTTTTTAACAAAGGCATGTGGAATCATCATTTGTTATATACTCTTTGTATCATGATTTTAATTTCATGCTATTACGGTTGATTATGGCTTTCACAAAATCGCGCTACAATCGACTTATTTGAACATAGGATGTAGATATAACAACTGTAAGGCAGTTCATTGTACAGGCTCTTCACGAAGGAACATTCACTGTATGAGCAGCAGAAATGGAAAATTGCGTTCTCATCCCCAATGCCAGTAAACAAATTTTTGTTTCGGACCAGTTTATTAATAAACAAGTCCTCCGTTCCCTCGCAATATTTTTCGGGCTAGACGTATATTGAACGTTTTAATGGTGTAAGCCAGTCGATGCGGTTGGGACTCTTTTGGTCCTATTCAATTCCGTTCATTCAGCCTTCAGAGCTCCGATGTGACTGAGTAGTGTATTTAAGTCTGCAATGTCAAAGCAAATATATAACAGAAATACATTGAATTTACCAACTAATGGATGTTATGGTCAGAATTTTCCAGTTTTTTGGTGATATAGGAATCTAACCTCACCTTACGGCATATATTTGGAGCACGGTATGGTAATTTTGTCACTCAGAAGATAGTTATGCGCTTTCCAACTCTTTATTTCATTGTCTTAACTACCGTTCCGTTCATCTCTTAATATTCGGAATTCTGCATAACTTCTCAGCCCAATTACTAGATCGTAACTTATGAACATACTAAACCGTGACAATGTAAAAGTAGTATTATGCGTTTTCACTGGTTTAGTGGTTGGATGGAATATTGTGAAGGGAACTTATTGATGAGTCTCCGGTGACGCCTTCAAATGGGTTATGTTTGTGTTTCTATGAACATGTTGGGTTTAGTTACCAGATATAGCCACCGCCTACCTATGGAGTGTTATATTTTTGGCCTGTCTACTTCACTCTACCATGTCTCTACCATGTTAACGGAAACTTGTGCTCCAAATCTCTAACTACTTGTTACATCCAAATTTTGCTCTAGTCCGTTTCCGGAACATGTTTGATTGATCCACTCGTAACTTACGACCCGAATAACAAGATAACTTAATTCCATTTCGGTTACCAAAGTTTGTCCATAAATTACAAGTAGTCGACCAAAACAGAATGTACTAATCAGAACAATTACACGAAAACCCTCAATTTTTAAGTTTCTTGAGCAAACTTTCCAAAATACGAAACCGAAGTAGTGTAAAGTCGAAAATACCTGGGATGAAGTTGTAAAAAACGGAGTTCCAAATTTGAGTAAAACAAATGCATTCAGAACGGTGCACTCAGTGATATACACTATAACAAATAAACACTTTCAGTTCCTTCTGTAACACTATTAACTCTAGGCTGTTATGTCTGTTAACGGATTACATTTAGAATGCTTTTCACTTCATTCACATACAAACATGTGCTCCTCAAGCAATAGAGGACATTCAACAAATACACTGGACAACTTTAATCGTGCTCTTTCTACTGCCGACCCTCTTGTTATGACTTTGTCATCATCACGATTACCATCTAGGTTCTGGAAACGTATCCTCGGTCCACTTAAATCACACTCTAATGTGCGTATGTAAGCTTTTAATGCCAATGCGACATACGAAATCGAAAAGTAACATACCACGCCAGTGACTGTGGAACCTCGTTCTATCAGTGTATTCTGTGACTCAAAGACACACACCATTCAAGAATGACCGTTCATCTGTCTTCATGTAGTCAATCTAGAGAGGAGGCAATCTATAAAACCTGCGCTTCAAAAGACTTGTCTGTTCCTTTTCTGCAACCTCAGGGGACTCGGCTTATCCATAGGTATAAAAGCAAAACAGACTCTCACAAGCCCGTTTCCAGTAGACGATCGCTTTCGTGCTGTAATACTAAGTGGGACAGAGGAAACCCGGATCGCAATCAGAAATGTGCGTCATTGCCTCTACCTACTCTACTAACAACTGCAGTTTTGTGAAGTAAATATGTCTCACAGGGATAATCCTATTCTCCGTATGATGACTAAATGCCAGGACTTCCTAATTGTACTTTGGGATGTTATTATCCAAAGCCTCATGTCTCGAGACGGACAACAGTAACCGCCTGGTGAAACTTTACCGCGGCAGTTGTTTATTCCTAGGACACACCTATTTTATTATCAAGGAAATACGTCATGTAACATGTCGACGTCCGAAATTGCCTCATCATTACACAGGAAAGGCCTACTTATGACCATCCACCGCTGAACAGGCTTGACAGATGTCTTTTGCTCACTGTGGAGACATGCATAGACCCAAATTAATCTCTGGTGTAGAAAGATATTTGAATATTTTCGAGTAAAGAGAAACCTCATTAGGATGACGGTTTCGCTCATAACCACATAGGGTTTATAAATAAATATTTTGTATCACATTTATATAAATTATCTTTTCAGATTCGCCGTATCTTCATTATATATGTAGGACCCCTAAAAATGGATATTTGATGTTTACTAGATGCAACTAAGTGGGACTTTCGTCGCCCAATCCCTCACTATTACTGCAAAAACTCTCCTATCATCAAATTTTGCCACATTATTGGATCGGCTTTCGGTTTTTCTGAGATACATATATCACTTATTATTCTTATTTTATCTCATAGACCGACTAAATAAATCGCTCACACCTTTCCCGATTCTTCCTTCCTTTGTTCATCAAAGTCAACTCAGCATTCTTCTAAATACTACGGAACCTGTTTAGATATGTAAACATCAATAAGACTTGTGAGTAATTACATTTATGAGGATACCCCCTCTACTCATACATACTGATATTTTATTACCCTTTTCATTTAATTGTAACTTTCATAGCATCACTCCAAACTACAAATGCACAAACATTTATTCTAGCGTCGTATCTTACTGGAATTATAAGTTATTTTTTCTGAATTATTTTTGTTACTAATTTAACGATACACGCATAGCCGTTTATTCTTGTTCTGTGTTCATAAACACGCCTATTAGACTGTTTGCGTATTTCACGTCTCCTTTATTTCTATTCCCTTATTTTCTCCATTTTCTTCTTTAAACTCAATTCAATATTCTTCTCAATTGCACAGACCGATTTATTATTATTAATATTCTAATATTATTGCTCTAATTTTTTTTAACTGGCAAGTATAATGCTGACATTATTGAAAATTGTGTATTATTGCATTTTTGGAAGAAACCCGAAATGGTTTCTTCACAACACTTATGTACACATAAGATGTTTGTGAATAATAATAAAAATAATAACACATATATTCCAATAGCCTGTTTGTGAATAGTATTAATGATGATAATTATTCGGTTGACGATTCAAAGTTTAGAAAGGCATTTTGTTTAGTTCAATCACTTAATTAGGATTTAGTACAATAACTACTCAGGGATATTGATATTTGTCTCTTAAACTTGCTACCTCCTTGAATTTTGTTTGTAACATCAGATTAGCTTCGACGTTCCCTAAACAGAACCTGTCTCATTAGATTCAAACCCTCTCACTAAGACCAAGGAGCTTTTACTAATAAACATTTGCAATAAAAGCGATTAGGCTAGAAGATATACGTGAATCTTCACATTTTTATGTAACATTTCTGAGGTAACAAGGACCTAAAATTGCCACAAGTATTCAAAATTTTACGGCGCCTTTACACTTAGCGTCTTTATTGTCGAAGTCTGTTAACTCAGTCAAATCAGAAGTCAGAAAACTAAAAAGTTCGAATATGTTGGTAGGTGTTTTATCTAAGCTGGCTAATAGTTGTGACATATGCGTAGCACGGCGAACCTGCTTTTGATCTATTATTAGACCAGTACAATCTCTTGCTTATTAACTATTTCCCTTGTTGTTTGGCACGCTAGTTTATGCTAAAAAACTTTTGACTGTATAGCACAAGTTTTCTTTCGGAGGCATTTTTTGCTTTTGATATAATTTGTTCACTTTAGTAGATTAGAACAGTTTAAATTGAACATATAACAGTACGAGTGAACAAAAATTCT